CAGGAATGGATCATCTTAGCGGTCTTTCCCAACCTTAACGATGCTATGATTCTACGATACAAAATACCTACAGAGTCAGCAACTGCTGATGCAGATTTTGGGGGACTATTTTCCCCACTCCCTTGTCCAAAGACCTTCCTCTTTTAGACCCAAGAGAGAAGAGCTTCACCCTTCACGTCCCTTAGGAGCAGCTCCTCCTTCCCAAACCCACCCCGTAAGAGCAAGCTGACCTTCTTCAAGGCTACCATCCCTTGCTCACCTTGGTGAAGGGGGTGACAGCTCAGGACCACCCACACCCCATGTCCAACACCATGTCCAACACCATCAGCGTGGCTCTGTGACTTGCTAGCCACATGAACACTTACCCCAAATATCAACTCCCATGTCCACCTGCCCTCCCTCGCACGCGTGGGGACAAGACAGAGGCACACGAACGCACGCGTGAGCTCTGCAAATAAAGCGGTTGGGGCCAAACCACCGGTCTGAGAGTCAGGAGATGTCCCCAGGTCCCAGACCTGCCACCTGCGCACAAGTGGCCACGAGTGAGCCCCGTCACTTCTGCCAGCCTTTGCCCATTCCCTCTCCTGATGGCACAGGGACAGGGGCCCATGGCAGCACAGGGCCGTGCCTGGAGGAAGGCGGCTCGAGGCGATAGCGGCACTCAGGGAGCCCAGGGAACAGCAGGGGTTAACCACAACGGCTTCGCTCCGCGGGCATTACACAGGAGCCTGCCTGCGGCGAGTCCTTCCCATCCACGGGCTTCTCTGCAGAATGGAGCCTTTGACAAACAACACTGAGGCTTTCAGGATACAGATGAGACAATGCAGCAGCCTCTTCCAGGGAGAATGAGAGCAGGCTTGTGGTGCTGCCCACTTGAATTCATGACAACACAGCTCAGCATTCACGCAGCGCCCTGGGAACACACAGCTACACGGGCACGGCTCCAGGACCCGAAGCAGCTCTCCAACAAGAACTATGTCCAAAACGCGGTAGCTCCTTTCAAGCCCCACCCAACACAGCCATCAGGACAGAGGAACTCTCCACTGTTCAAATGGAACAGAGTCTCCACACCGCCATAACCCTACAAACACGCAGCTTGGAGGTTAAGAACTCCTCTAATTTCAGAAGGTTTTGTATGGGACAAATGTGCTTTCTCACCTCCAGGGGCATCCTTCCAAGTGAGATGCTCAGTCTCATCTTGAGATTAAAAGAGCCAAAGGCTGAATCCAGCACAGAGCATAAGTAACTGAACTAACACATAGACAGTAGTTTTAGGTAGCTTAAGGAATTTTGTGTTCAAGGCCAAGCTGAAATCTTTATGGAGCCACCTTTCAGCTATGTCAGGAAAACACAAACACAGCTTGAAGCACAACACAGTACTTCAAAAGCGCTTCCTGGGCTCTCCATGTGACCAGGTTTGGATCAAGTAACAGACCAAAACACTAAGCTTGAAATGTAAGATGATGTTTTGAGTTCTACTCACCCCTTCCCCAGTTGGGAATTAGCTCCTCCCTGCTCTCAAAGCCAGCTCAACTGCCTGACGCATGCTGGTAAGGAGAAGCTGCAGAAACACCTCCAAAACAACTTGAAGTGCTGCTGCAATTCCCCCGGGACGTACCTGCAGCATCTCAAGGAGCTGGATAAACCATTCCTCCCAATTCTAATCACCTCACATTCTCCCATTTAAAACTAGCTTATAACTATTTACCACACAAAGTGAATGAGTAGATTTAATGCTCACGAACAAGTCACTTTTCTGCCCACAGGCCACCAGCTTTCTTCCTCACAGTCCGGTTTGCTGGATATTTTAGGACACCAAGCACAAAGAATCATAGAATTGAATCATAGAATCATAGGGTGAAGTAGAGGCAAGACAAAGCCACTCAAACAGAACAGTGCCAAGACTGCCCCACCAATACATTACTGCCCCTCACTGAAGGCAATGCAAGCGTCCATTGATCTTTGGAACTACAGCAGTAGCCACCTAAAACAGGTCTTGATAAAGAAATTCTGCCAAGGTCATATCTGGGCTCCAGCCCTCCAGAGAACAATTTGTTCTGGCTCCCAGTGTCCCCATTAGTGCCACGTGCTGTCTAACTGCTGCAGTCCTCCCCACAGGGAATGACTCTGCCACCGACTGCTGCCACCATCCAGAGCTGCCCTGAAGAGCAGGAGGGACTGTCAGTGACCACGTCTTCTTCCTCTTCCCATTTTTAGTTGATTCACAGTCAGAAAAGCAGAAGAAAACTTGTTTCCACCATTCTTGACCTTCTTGAACCAGGAGAACCAATAGGTAATGCCCTAAACCCCTGAAATTCCACTTTTTTTTTTTCCCACACCCTGATGAGGATTCAAAGCAAAAGAATCCAAGCGCTCCAGCCAAAATCCAACCAAATTTGCACTATCTTTCACTTATCAGAATATGAAAAACAACAAATAGAAGCCATGGATTAGATTTCACCAATCAATTTGTGCTTGTTTTTCTCATGCTGAAACAGGAGCTGGAGGCATTTGGGTACGTGTTTTGGAAGGCTGCCTGCACCCAGTGCTGCTTCGAACCTCTGTCTTTTCCTGCAAGGCTATTTTTGAACTGAATGTTCTCGGGAAAACCACAACAAATGCCTCCTTGCCTCTCACAGAAGCAGCATCTGAGCTTTCAGAAAAAAAAAAGCGGCAAGTCACAGAGCAAAGTGTCAGCAGAATGCTCCTTCCTCTGTTGTGTGACAAATGTGAACAGTACAGGAGGCCGAAGAGGAATCCCACCTGCAGGAACTCTGCCTGGTTCAGACTAAAAGCCTTTTAGATAACCACCTGCCGTGCAGTAAAGCCTTGTTACCTCAACAGCTTACAGAATTGGCCACATTCACCAATCCATGATTTACACCACGTGGCTGAGACTCACACACCTTGGGAACCTTTGCTATCCAGCAAG